TATGTTTTCCAATTGTCCATAGCAATAATGTTAAGAGTATTTATTAACGGTCAACTAAGAACTACAAAGCAGTTATTATTAGAGCAAATTCCCATCCTCGTGGATAATTTTTTTCCTATTGTATCTTGACCAGTTGTACTGATCCAGCAGGAGTTGAAATTTAAAACCAATCAAATTGATTCATTTGTTAACAGGACCCAAACTAATATGGATCATTGAAATTAGTGGATGTTTTTTCTTAAATCCAACTTCCTCCTCCACTGACTCTCTTTATCAAAACAGCCAATAAGCCAAACTGCAAGATAACCTGAGCTTGCCTTCTGCTCCTGGCTGAAATCCTTAATTAGAGTGCCCTAAATATAGACCCAGAAGAAAAGAATCTGTACCATCACAGAAACTGCCCTTAAGCTAACAGCTAAACTATTTAGAACCAGCTATACTCATCAGAAGATGAAAACCACAACATGTTAACAGAAACACTTCAAACCAGAGCTGTCAAACTTGCATAAAACCATTGTTAGACCTGGAATAAAGTGAAACTAGAAACACCACTAAATTTCATTTAGTTTGTTGGCAAAGTGAGTTGACTCAATAAACTTCAGCCTTACTTTCCTTACCTCCCTCCTCATCTGGATGCATGAGCCCAAAGTTGCAGGAAGAAAATATGGCTAACTCCTAATGGTACATATATAACTGACACAGTATCTTTAATCACATTTTTTTCAGGATTCTCCCTGCCCACAAAATGGTGTTTGAATTACAGATTACTTAGGGTGAGGGGAAGCACGGAAAAATTTATATCATGTGAGCTCCAAGAAAATTTTCTTTGACAATTTCCATCTGGCACATTGCATTTGACAGTGGCAATCCTCATTCCCTTGTATGATGTAATGCATCATGACTGATGTAATCCAGGCAGATCATCTCAAAGGAGTGTTCTGCCAAGAACACCCCATGGGAAGTAACTTTTTTCATGGGTAATGAATGTGTTACAGATAAATGCTATATTTTATGTTCCCTGACATGATATGGCCTAGAGCTATGACATACAAAGCATTTTTGTCAAATTATTTTATTTTTGCTATTTGGCTAGTGAGTAATCATGTATAAAGAAATATTCTAACATCATAGTCATATCATACGTATAAAATAAGTAGATCATGAAGCTCAGGCTGGATGTGGAGTGAGAGGAGGGAAAATTATTAGAAAAATAGTGTTTGTTCATAATATTGTATAATTCTTTTTAACTCTTAAGAGACATTGTGTAAGTATCTCAGATAATTGGCATCAAATTAACCAAATTGCCTGTCTCCATAACCCAAATTCACTGAGTAAATATTTGGCTCTTCAATTTATGCATTGTTTTAGTTATCTATTACTGTGTAACAGACTACCCCAAAATGTTAGGGGCTTAAAACAACATTTATTATCTCACAGTTTCTCTGGATCAAGAATCCAGGTACAACTTAGGTAAGTATTCCAGCTATGAGCATCACTCAAGGAAGACTTCAGTCATCTCAAGATCCAATGGGAAGGATTCACTTCCAAGCTCATTTATGCGGTACTTGGCAGGATTCAGATCTTAGCAGATTGTTGGATTCATGCCTCAATTCTCATGAGCTATTGGCTGGAGATTTCCCTCAATTCCTTGCCATGTGGGCCTCTCCACAGAATAACTCACAATGTGGCAGTGGCAAGAGAGAGTGCAGGAAAGAGAATGCTAGCAACCCAAACACAGAAGTGATATTCCATCACTTTAGCCATTTGCTGTTCATTAGAAGCAAGTCATTAGGATCAGCTCACACTCAACGGGATTCCACAAAAACATGAATACCAGGAGGTAGAGTTCATTGGGAGGCACGTCAAAAGCTGCCTACCATTCACTCATACTTTTGTTATAAAAATGAATAGGTTGAATAATATTTTTATCCATGTCATTAATACATATTAAACCATGACTCCTTGTTAGAGAATCACACTTCAAAAGAAAGTGATTTGTTTTACAAAAAAGCCAACTGATGCCATCAGCAAAGAGTCTAAACTTCAGTCGAGGGAGAAAGTTAGGACGCCTGGGTGGCTCAGTCGGTTAAGCGTCTGCCTTCAGCTCAGGTCATGATCCCAGGGTCCTGGGATGGAGTCCAGCATTGGGCTCCTTGCTCCGCGGGAAGCCTGCTTCTCCCTCTGCCAGATACTCCCCCTGCTTGTGCTCGCGCACCCTCTCTCTCTCTCTGACAAATAACTAAATAAAATCTTAAAAAAAAAAAAAAGAAGAAAGTTAAGTCAGCTCATAGTGTAAAATAATATCACTTTTGCAGGATCATTCTTTTTGGTTCTCTACTTCAATCATTTACGTCATTTCTTCCTTTCCCTGGCAAGATGATGTCAAAATGAACACCTAGTGCTGAGAGAATTGGTGACCCTTCAGTATTACATGCTTATCAGCCGCCGGCTCACTATTGAAATGGGCAGCACCAGAGTCAAAAGTTCATACTGACAAGCAGCTACTTCCATTTACAGCTAATAGAGCAGGATTTTCCTCAACTTATTTAATAAACATACAGTGAAATAATATGTGGATAACACTAATATGTCCATATAATAACTAATTCATATTGACTCCTTACTATCAGCCAAGCACTTAACTAGGGTGCCTGGGTGGCTCAGTCGTTAAGTGTCTGCCTTCGGCTCAGGTCATGATCCCAGGGTCCTGGGATCAAGTCCCGCATCAGGGTCCCTGCTCCACGGGAAGCCTGCTACTCCCTCTCCCACTCCCCCTGCTTGTGTTCCTGCTCTCGCTATCTCTCTCTGTCAAATAAATAAATAAAATCTTTAAAAAAATAAAATAAAAATAAAGCACTTAACTACTTAATACACTCATTTACATATATACTTATTAATGTATGGATATCTACATGTAAACTCAAGAAATCCCTACTAGTTGATAGCCATTAATATTACTGAGATATTTCTATTTATAGTGCAATTAGATGAAAATTACTCAACTTTTCCAAAGCCTAGAATTTGTGCCAGTCCCCTTCAATCAGCATGGAGACCCACTAAGTAATAAAAGATGTCAAAATAGTTACATGATAAATATAAAGTGATTCTGCTTACTTTGTAGTCAACTAGACTGGTTTACACACATTTTGAATTTGCTTCTTCCGAGTGAATAAAATGGTATGCTTGGAGAGTTGGTTACTTTATTTCTGCTGAAGGAAACTATTTTTAAATTCCCAGAATTGCTTTTTTTAACCCTGAGTTTATTTGTTCTTGCTCTCCTAACAATACGTAGACATAGTCTGATAGAATGTTTGAATGCTTTTTCATTTGCTTTTTCTGGTACAAAATTTATATTAATACTATATAAAATATACCCTAAGATGTATGTAGTGTCTTTTTAAACTTAAAAAAAAGTAAAATAAAATGCTTATCATCGGCTCTAAATGTTGATTGAATGACTACTACTTTTAAGGTGATCTACCCATGGGCGCCTGGGTGGCTCAGTCATTAAATGGCGGCCTTCGGCTCAGGTCATGATCCCAGAGTCCTGGGATCGAGTCCCACATCGGGCTCCCTGCTCAGCGGGAAGCCTGCTTCTCCCTCTCCCACTCCCCCTGCTTATATTCCTGCTCTCTCTGTCTCTGTCTCTGTCAAATAAATAAATAAAATCTTAAAAAAAAAAAAAGGTGCTCTACTCATGCTAAAATGTGCTTTAAATTTTTCTACTTTTAAAAGTTCTACACTTGGTTAGAAACTTTAATACAAATAAATTCATGTGTTGATTTTAAATAGCAGCAATACGAGAAAAACAAAAGTCAGCCTCTTATACATTATTGAGACTTCTAATAGGCAAGCTCAAAAAGGCTGATTTTACCACTTGCCCTTTAAGATTAGCCAGCTAGTGAGTTATTATGCAATCACAGAATTGCTTTTTCTTCTACATTCATAATTAGTTAAATTGTGCATATATATTTTTTTCTCCATAAAGGGAGCCATTTTACTCTGAACACCATCTATGTTTATACAGAAGATAATTTCTACCACTACTTTCTGTTGCAAAAACAAATGTAAATGCATATGTATTACTATATTCAATATTCTCATTTTCAGATTACACAAATAATAAATTCCTATTTAGTAAGAGGATAATCCTAGTTTTTTCCTGCTCTTTTCAATGAAACATTTGGAGATACACTTTAGCAGATGTGACTGCTTGTATGACATTGAAGAATGTCCATGTTAAAGAACAAAAGCAGAAAAGAGTATTTCAGAGAATGAAGAGAAAGGATTCTTTAGAGAAGTCAAAGATGTTAGTAGAGAATGTAGAATTAAGAAAAGAAATAACTTTCCAAGACCTTCTGGTGAATATTTCTTGCAGAAATATTTCACTTAAACATAATATCTGCTAAAATGAGTAAGAGATGAAGAGACTCCCCCAGCCTGCACCACCAAGCCCTGACTCATCTCAGCACCTAAACTGCATGGAGGTCTATGGCAAATAAGACAAAGTGACTCCAAAATTCATATGGAAGTACAAAGGATCTAGAATCGCCAAAACACTTTAGAAAAAGAACATTGGAGGACTTAAACTACCTGACTTCATACTTACTATAAAGCTACAGTAATCGATAGTATGATATATAGATCAATGGGACAGAATAGAAAATCCAGAAATAAACCCTCATATTTATGGTCAATTGATTTTCAACAAAGGTGTCAAGGCAATTCAACGGGAGAAAGGACAGCATTTTCAACAAACGGTGCCAGAACAACTGGATGAATTATATGGTATGTAAACTGTAATTGAAAAAAATTGTTTAAAAAAAAAAATCCTCAAACCAGGGCTTGTGAACACCCAGAGGTACAGGATCAAACACAGTACCACTCTGAAACATTCATTTTACTCACTGACAATTTCACACATTAATGTTAAACATTATTGTCTCATGAAAACAAACATGCGTGCTATAGAAATTGATAATAAATGAAAACAACCCAAATGAGAACAGAGGATATTTATTCAGAGCTTGCTATAACAAGGGAATCAGCACCCATCACTTGGGTTTGGAGGAAACTCAAAGGCAGGCACGGATGCGGGAAAGCTTTGTCAAGAAAAAAGGCAAGGCTTCAGGTGTGCTCTGATTGGAGGTGTTGCTATGGTGTAGGTAGAGGTGGACTCACTAAAAGCAGGTCATCTTCTGTGATTGGTTTGGAGGGTATCTCTGGCTTTATCTGGCTGGTCCTGAGTTGGAAGTTAGGGCAAAAAGAGGGAACTTGACAGTTACTGACGAAACCCTTACCATTCTGGGCTGTTTGTTGCATGGGTTGTGGTTTGGTTTCCGGAACTAGTTGCTAAAGAAATTGTGGTTTGGCATCCAGGTTTCTTACATGGGTCAGAGTTCAATTGTCACATATGCTTTGGCAACTGTCTGTTTCTATATTGTTTCTCAAGAGCAAAATGCAAAATCTGACAAGCAAAAGACAAACATTGCATGAGATCAGATAAACCATCCTTTGCTTTCTTCCTCTTTTGAAAGCCCCGCATGCTTCGTGCAAAAAGACCTCCAACAATCAGCACTACTAGCTTTTCGGATAATCTAAAATTGTCTTAAATTCAAGCTGATGTTACCCCTTCTCCCAAATTTGACATGTATTTTTGATGAGTGGGACAACAGCTTATTTTTAGGGAAAACCCTCCTCATGCCTCTCGAATTTCCTCCCTCCACACCACCCACTGAGAATAATGACGGGGGTCACATTTGTATTTTGTGGCTTCTCACATTTTAGAAGCTTTACATGATTCTGCATAGCATTTTGGTTATTATTCACAGTAATGGGAATAAGAAGAGTTATTGGCAACTCGGCAAGTGTTCATTTAATCCCATTTTAGGAGAAAATTATCATTATTATGCCACTTCAAAAATAGGGAAAGTGAGTCTTGGCAAGGTTAAAGAATTTATCCAAGGTCACCAGGTGCATGACTAATTGGGAATTCAACCCTAGGTGTGTGTGACTGCAGAGCCCCATCTTTAACCGTAACGATGGATCTCACTGGAGGTATTCTTTCTTGATTCGGATATAGCAAAGAGAGTCTCACCTCACTCCTTCGGCACACTCTGCGAATGCTCTGAAGTCCTGTTGTTGTCAGCTGTTTTTGCCCTTCGAGGCACACCTGGCCCATAGTAAAACACGTCTTAGGCAATTTTCCTCCCGCTTTGAAGCAAAAGTTCTACCAAGTCTCGTGATGTCTGTCAGTAACGTTAGCGGCACCCAGTATCTCAACCCTTAATCATCTGTCGGGAACAAGTACTGATTTATCAAGATACAGATAAGAATGTTACTATATCTAATTTTATTGGATTGGTCATTTGGATTTCTGCACATGCCACTGGAAGTCGCAAAACCCAGAAAGTTTTCTAAATCCTTGTTGTGAAGAAAGGAGGTCTAGAAGCCTTTTTTCTCTTGAACATTTTCACCTCCTAATGGTTTCCTTTAGGGGTCCCTCCACACCCACCTCCTGCTCACCCCATTCACACCTAATCCACTATTAAAATATAGGAAGGTGGGGCACCTGGTGGCCCTGCCTGTTAAGTGTCTCACTCTTGATCTCAGCTCAGGTCTTGATCTCAGGGTCATGCATTCAGGCCTCGAGCTGGGCTCCACCCTGGGTGTGGAGTCTACTTAAAAATAAAATAAAATTAAATTAAATTAAATTAAAATAAAATAAAATAAATAAAATAAAATAATAAAATAAAATAAAATAAAGGAAGGCGGGTCAGGTTATTGAAAGTATCCTCCAGGTGTCATGCTCTGTGTATTATGTCCCCAGGCCTAGCCCACACTCTGCTGTCACAGCTTACTAGCACAGTTAGGGGGTGACAGTTTTAATTTAATAAGTCACTTGTAAATCCATGAGTTATTCCTGAAGAGAATATGCACAGCCTTGGCCTATTAATTTCTAGTAACAGTACAGATTCTTACCCTCTTGATTCCATTTCTAGCATAAATCCCACTTTTCCTACAGATCCAAATCCCTTACAAAACTGTGCTTTGAGGATTGTATTACTACAAACAAGCTGTTTAGTTTCATTTCAATTAACTTATTAATCAGGTTCCAGTCCCTCACTCTTCCTGGCTACACTACTTATCTGAGCTATGCCTTCTCCCTCTCACTCCAGGGGACTAAGAACTGTTTCCTTATGGGCATCGTTCACAGAGGACCTCATGAGATTCTCACACCAATCCTGTGAGGCAGAATCACCAGTTATCCTCCAAGGATGTTTTCTCTCTTGCCACGTAGATTATCTTCTATTGAGATTATGATAAAAATAAATAAATATGGAATAAGAGCTATTATACCTCAAAAATCTAAGGTGTCCTCACCTTAGATGAGGTGTATCCCTTGCAATCCAAAAATTTCATATTTTAAAATCAGTGCAGTGACTTCTTGCTCTCAGCTCCTTACCCTAGAAAATCCTCAAACACTGTGATGTCATTAGTAATGAGAGGTGTTGAAATACTTTTAATAGTAATAATTAGGATGTCGATCATACAAATGATTTACTTTCTCTTCTAAATTAGAATAGATTCAAGGTTATCCCCTGAATAGTATCACTCTCTCACTCACTTGCTTTCCTATCTGCTTTCTAAATTGGAAGAAATAGCTGAAATTGCAGGTAAAGAGAATTAGACATAACCTGCAATTTATATTTCCTCTGCCACATCCCTTAGTGAGCTATCATTAATGATATGCCATTAATAACTACAGCAATTATGAATCATTATAGTGTTTTTGGTGCTGATTTTGTATTTGGTTCCATTTTCATTTTAGTTTTACCCATGGATAAATTTTTATTAAGAAAGGAGAGATAAAGAGACCACAACAAGGCATTTATAGCGTAAGTTTTCAAGTATTTTCTTTGTACAGGAAAAGGAAAACTTTTTTCAAAGAAGACTTTTGTAGAACCCCAAAACATAAAACAGATAAATGTGAAATTGCTCTAATTCAAACCCTGGGCCAGGGACAAGGTTGCCCACTTAGACTTTGGCTGCTCCCCTTTGCTGACACTTGAGACACATCCACAGAACCCCAGGATCCACTGACCATCATTTTATTTTTTTTTTCTAAATATTTTATTTATTTGACAGAGAGAGAGAGAGCACAAGCAGGGGGAGAAGCAGAGGGAGAGGGAGAAGCAGACTCCCCACTGGGCAGGGAGCACAATGTGGGGCTCGATCCAACAACCCTGGGATCATGACTGAGCTGAAGGCAGACACTTAACCAACTGAGCCACCCAGGTGCCCC